TTTTAATGGGTTTATCAGCAAAGCTTCCTTATATAATCTAAATAAGTAAGTACTCATTCTGTGCCATGAGAAGGTAATATAACCCTTCTAGTTTTTTCTAATCTGCTTTGGGCAGTCTGCCATTACTTGTAGGCAGCTTCATGAATGTCTTTAACAACCTCAGCTTGTCTGCAAGGATTTCAGGGTCTCTCATTGCCGATCCTCCTGGGGAGCTGTATGAGGTGGCTACCCCTGGCTGCTAAAGAGCAGCACCTCTGACCAGCACAGCCTGAAAGGGCAGGGAGGTGGCTGGGCAGGTGTGCGACTACCAGAGCTGCAGACTTCAAAACAGTAAACTCTGGAAATAATTAACAGGCAGTGCCAGCCAACAAGCGCAGCCGTTGTGGCGCTTCCTTTGGAGGGCACTTTAATGGATTTAAAAGCAAGTGAATTGCATCATGTACAGTTTTCCAGGGCTTTTAAAGATGAAACCCCTAAAGCCTAGTTTGCTAGCAATATAATCTCAAAGTAGCAAAGGCATTCTCATAGAGAGTGGGAGAGCCTTTCCCAAACACCTACGAATGCCAAACACTAAGTACTAGCAGCTTTTGGAAACGCGAAGTACCAAGAAAAGCCAGGAATTCAGTTTCACTCCCCAGGCTGTCTGCACTTTGCAGCAAGTTTGCACCTTGGGGGCTGATTTAAATTTTTGTTTTGTCTTGCTTTACAACAGAAATAACAATTCATAATTGTTATTAATTATCCATTACATAGTATTAGACCATGCTGGCATTCTAATTAACTTGTAACATTCAGTCCAGAATACTTAAGCAAGTAATTTAATAGAATTCACAAAGCACACACCACAGACTCGTAAGGAGATCATTCCTTCCATTTCAGTGTAATGCAGGCTGTGGCGATTTTATTCCTATGCAGTTTAAAGAAAATATGGTAGTCTGCCTACTTATTTCAGTTTACAAACCCATCACAAAGTTTAACATTCTGCTGCTAATGTACTTGGCATCAGGTACAGAAGTGCCATTATCCCCAGCAAGTCAGGAAATAGAGATGCTGAAATTAAATTCACAAAGGAAGCATGTGGCAAAGCAGGGAATTTGGACTCCATGTATCCAGACCAGCACATTAATCACAAAATTAATGCCGGGGTTTTTTTACTCTCATCTCTCCCTTTAAGACCAGAGTAAAATGCAGTTTTAAGTAGGCATATGCTTTTGATGTTCTGTTTCCAGACTACTTTACATTTTCCATCTCTGTTGAAATATCAAACTTATTGTACTGCAGCTGGCAGTGACACTTTAGTGACAAGGACTCAGCAGCGCCAGGTTAACAGTTGGACTCTTTGATCTTCAAGGTCTTCTTCAACCTAAGTGATTCTGTCACTCTTAAGTGACAGCACCGAGCCTTTACCTATTCAGAGCTAAATGCATGATCAGCTTTGCTGACACTGAACAAGGCCATTATTGTAGGCCTGGGGAAGAAGTGAGAAAGAAAGGGTTATTGAGGACAGATGAGAAGGCAGCTGCTTGGTCAAAGAATTTGACTGCCTGTTTCTAATCACAGATATCAATCAGCATCTTTGCATCAAGTTCTTTTCCTGGAAATGAAGAAGTTTTTTATGATTTTGCCAGAGTGGTATGAAGAGACATAAGCAACTTCTAACTGTTGTACTAGCTTGAGCTTTTGCTTTCTTCCACAACTTCATGCAACTGCAGATAGAATGGTTTGCATTGTAAGGGATCTTAAAGATTGTGCAGTTCCAACCCCCCTGCCACAGGCAGGGATGTCTTGCATTAGACCAGGTTACTCAGAGCCCCATCCAACCTGGCTTTGAATATTTTAAGGGATGGGACATCCACAGCTTCTCTGGGCAACAGTTCCAGGGCCTCACCACCCTCACAGTAAAGAATTTCTTTCTAATATCCAATCTAAGCCTATTCTGACTCCGAGAACCTGTTAGCAGAGCAGCCCCATAGTTGTTTACCTTGATATAATCAATGGATTTAAACTGTAAACTGTGTAAGTGATCATGTCACACCTCCAAAGCTATGAAGCTAAAGCAACAGTGAAGGAAGCTTTGACCATATAAGTAGGAAAAAATTTTGAACATATGGTGTACAGCTAAATATTCTTAGCAAAGCTGTTAATGAATTAACAGATGAAAAATTATTTAGGCTTCACATTTTTGCTCAACATGATTAACTCCACTAATCAATTGAATAAATAAATTTTGACCACTATTTGATATCTCTAAAAAACATTGCTATTAATAAAAACAATATGTAGTTTGCTCAGAATACTGGAAGACATTTCAGTGGTCATTCTGACATCCATATAAAACAAGTCAGATTTCTGCTTCATGCATTTTAGACACACTGAGTATATTCAGCATCATTTTTTCTTGGAAGAGGGAAGGAGGCTGGAAAACTTGTATTGATCAATCTCAAACCTCTGCAAAATTGATCAATAAAATTCCATGTTTAGCATCATAAATTTCTGCTTCATGACAAGATCGGTACTTGTGCAGACACAGTAAAGGCTAAAGAAAAAACTTACGGCAGCACCACAGAACAGGTACTTTAAGAAATAATGACTCTTGGAGATCATGGTATTACTCTCACATTTTTTATAGTAAAAGTGTGTAATTTTTCTATTTCAAGCTTTTTGTCACTGCAATTCCTATCTTTCCCAGAATGTCACAAAACCTATCCTTAGCTTTCCTGCATTTTCTGAAAATCCTCTTCCTGTGAGATATCCACTGTCCCCCACCACTGCAATAAACTGGTTTAACCAGTTTCCAAGAGAAAGGCTGGTGGGTAGTCAGGGCAGGGACAGAGAGTTGCCACCTCAACAACAGGTGTTGTTTAGGGTTTTTATCACCACCATCTGCTTTTCTCCATTGCAGAGGTTGTAGCCCTCTCCCCCTGGAGCAGAGGGACCACCCCTTGCAAAAGTGGGCAGCTTCACCTGGACTGCTACAGCTGCAGGTTTAAGCCAAAGCTGTGGCTAGATGTGAGAGGAATATTAATGAGTCTATATAAATAACGGATGCTTAAGCCAAAATGATGTGATTGGCCTTCTCCCTTGGCAGGAGTTATGCTGAGCATCAGCAACTTAACTCCACAAAGGGCAGTAATAACAGTAAAACAGTATTTGGGTAAAAGCCATTTTCTGAAGCTCTATAATAGTTTCTGTGCTTTTTTTTTTTTGAGATGCTCTGCATGCTGCAAAGGGCAAGAAAGCCAAGAGCTAATACATACCTCCCCTCCGGAAACAGTCTGAGTGTTCTCAGAACAAGCTTCGATTTTCAGGCAATGAAACAATAAACCCCACTTAAAGCCTGTGCTCATACACAGCTGCTATCCAGTGTCTATCAATTTAAAACACTTTCAAAGGCTGCTGTGGGAGGACTGGGACTGTGCCCATGCCCAAAAGAGCACACTGTTTTTGACACTGATTACATTTACCTTGGATTTTTAAGAAGCCTTTAGGCTGACAGTTAAAAAAAAAAAAATTGCCACTACCAAGGCATGCTGATTTGTTGGAGCAGTAACTGATGCTCATTTCCATATTTTCTGCAACCCTCCTCTCCTTCATGTCTAAATATTGTCAGATTGCTGGTGACAATCTAGTAACACATTTAAAGTCACTTAAATGAGCTTTTAATTTTTTTTTTGTTTCTAAAAAAACTCTATAACAAACAAATTTCTTTTCTGTTCACCCAGAAGAATCTATTGCTGTAGTTGCCTTCCAAAAGAGAGGCTGTGGATACTATACCAGATCCAGAAAATCTCTTCAATTTAATGGTAGAAAGTGCTTGTTTTCTACCTACCACCTGAGTAGCATTTTCTCAGGTAAGAACAGGCATTCAGGGAAAAGAAAAGGCAATCTGTTGAGTAAAGGTGAATTTTATTGAAGTGATGGCCACATGAAAAGGCCATCAGACATATTTCCAAACAAAATACTTATCTATCCAGACTAGCAATTCTGAAATTACTACAATATATTTTTATCTCTTCATACATTTGGTTTCTCAGCTTGTGAGTGGTGACTGCTATTTGCAAGGCTTCTAAGGGAGCTATTTTCACAGTACCAACAATAGTAGAACTAGCAGGTGGTTTAGGAAGTATTGGCGCACTGGGTGAAGCTAAGGCATAAGCCAAATGAAGCATGTATGTTTAAGCTGGCTTCAAAGTCACTTAGTACAAAGTAAGAAGAATTTTTAGGCATTCCTCCACAATTTCATGATATATCATCTCTTATCACAGCAAATAGATGAAGGAGGATTTAAATTTAGAAAGTAATAGAACCCTGTATTCTCAGTTATACTTTGGGGAAGGAGGTTAATGAAAGAAAAAAAGCAACCTTACTCTCCTTCTACTGGCCACAGGTATACAACAGCCTGACAAGCTCTGATCTTCCTGTCTTTCAGCTGGAGCATTTTTTGCTGCAGAGATGAGTCTGCCTTCTGGATAAAAGGGAAAATGAAAGACATATAACCCATTTCTAAGTCAGCATTAGATAGCTGAAAATTTAGCCACAGTGCAGGTTTGGGAATGCTGAATCACTCCCATTTTTGGTTTTTACTTAATATATAATCTGTATAGTGACAGCAGAATTATTATTATTATTATTATTATTATTATTATTATTATTATTATTATTATTATTATTATTATTCCCTTCCTTATGCTTGGGTTGAAGGCAGCTGTTAAAAGATAAAAATTGGTCCTAAACTTATAAACATTTTGGGCAAGGATGATCTTTTCTGTGAAAAATCCTAATAAGTGTGGCACTGTAAAGGAAACAAAAAGAACCAGAAAGCAAAGTCAGCACAGTGCTGTTCTAAAAAAGAGCACCACAGTCTATCAAGAAGCAGCAGTACTAGTTAAAACTTTAAACTGCTTTTTCAAAGCAAATCACTGCTACAATGCTGTACATTAAAATGCAAATATATGAGATATAAAAAGTTCTCTATATAAAATAATCCTGTTTCCAGTTCATGTTCTTCAATGCCATTTACTTTCATGTCTGTTAAACTTTATTTTCTTACAGATTATTGCCACATAGGTAAGTTCTGGCAATCTTAGCAACAGAAAACAATTTAGTAACAGTTATTAAAATATTTTTACATTAATTAAGATCTCTATCTTTCACTGTAAAAAAAATATATTAATGCAAGTTATTCACTCAATTCATAAGTATGGTACTCAAATTTTACTATAAACAATGAGCATGCAACTCAGACTTGAAAGAAGTCAATAAGCAACTGGTATTTCATACAGCCAGTGATATATGTTACTTGCACACCTTTATTCACAGCTTACAATGTTCAATAATTTACACTTCTGAAATATGTGCATTTTAAGAGGAACTTGTCACAGCTCTTAAGCAATAGCAGAGACTAAATGAGGTCAGCTGCAAAGTATGAACTAAGTGAGACAAAGCCATACCCTTCTACTCATGTGCTTCCATTGTTAAAATCACAGCAGGAGGATGACTTGCACTTACTTTTCTACATGTTTCAAATTTCTGTTTTGGCATTTTCTGAATGACATTAACCAAATCCAGCTGAATATGGAGTTGGAATCCAGCATCTGAGATCTGGTCCAAATAATTTCAAAGGCAAATACAAGAAAGCCTAAACACAGTCTCCTGTTTGCTACCTACAGACACCTAAAAGACTTGTCCCGCACGCTATTGTTGATCAGTTCTATGCTCTGAAAGTCCCTAGAGGATGTTTTCCCCAGTAGCACAAACCATAAAGGTTCCAGTTAAAATATATATTGGAGGGGAAGAAAACAGAAGTGCCTAAGACAGTGGAAAAGAATTAAAATTCCTAAATAAAGCCAGTTGGCTTTGTTGATTGTGTACTGAAATATATACAAGCAAAAAATTAAACCAAAAGCAAACTTACTGAACAGTTTATTCTTAACATGTTGCCATTCTGCTGTTCATATGTTTAGATTAATCTCAGCCTGAAATAAGGCAATATTAAAGGAACAAGCATAATTTCCTCAGAGCTAAGGTAGATAAGAAAGGAAGAACTCTATTTAGTATTTGTATGGGTACCAAGGAAAGACTCCCTGTAAAACAACACAGAGAATATGAAAATATGAGTGAAAAAGACAGGAAGACTGGTTTAAACATAAGCAGGATTCAAATACATGTGTATGTTTTTAAAACTTTACAAATAAATTAAAGACAGTGAAAGGCATTATGGACTGGATAAGGGAGAAGACAACTGAAATTAAAAAGAGGTGCTGTGTTGATAACAGAAGAGACAATAGAAATTTATTTTTCTTGGAAAAACCTTTAACATTCTGTTGAGTAACCTGGAACAGAGATCATCTCATCTGTGCAAATATCTGTGCAAACAATGTACACACACACAGGTAAGGGAGAGAATAAGATCTTCAATCAGTAGAACATTTAAAAATGCATCTATTGACAAAAGCTTCATTTTTACTCTCAGATGTTAGGAGTCTGACCTGTGGGCTCAGATTCATTCTTTAGTGTCTTCACTATGCCTAAGTCAGTATGAGTAGTCTTGCCATCCAATTAGAGACATCATTACAGTAATGGAACATTTCTTCTTGGTCTTTCCCACAAACTTCCAACCTCAGATTAAAAAGCCCTAGCTTAAGCTCTTTCTCATGAAGCTTCAGCTCAACCTCTGAGTCTTGGAGTACTATCCTAAGGCTTCCATAGATGCCATTAATCTCTACTACAGTACCATGCTCAGGTGTGACAAGCACTGTATTTCATACAGATTTTTGCACCCTCTACATTTTGTGAAGTGTTGCCTTCATGTTCTGCAAAAGTGAAATAATTTAAGAAAGACAACAACTTTAAAGCAGAAAATGCCCTTTCTGTTTCTTAATTATCTTACATTCTGTACCCATCACAAGAGAGGAAATTTAGATTTCTTATATGTGCAGAGGGTAACACTAACCATAAAGATTAGCTAGCTGAAAGCATATGTGAAAGCAACTGTAAACACTTTTAAATGCTTAAAATCTAAACTCTAGTTATTCCAGTTAATATAAGGTCAAACTTTTAAACTGATATCAAAACAACTATCACAGATTGACAAATTCTGTTTCCAAGCTGTTTGCAATGAATTTGTCACTTCTCATAGTTCTTATTATCAGCTTTGACATTTACAAGAAAAATAGTTCACTGCTGCCAGAGCATAACATAGGACCATGTTTCAGAGCTACTGAAGGCTTCTTTCTTAGTGGATATCTTACAGTAAGATTTCTCAGTTTTGCAGTTGTGGAATGTTTTTAAAGGTTCAGTGTTTCCACTGTTTTATCGAAGTCCTGACCAGCTGTGGAGGTACGAAGCCCACCCAGAAGGCCGTGAGGTACTGTCTTCTTCACCTGAAGGAGGAAGAAAAACATATTTTCTATTACGTTAGACATTTACTATGTTAGACAGTGAATAATTTGGTTACACATCCTTGCCCCCATTCCTTGCCTTTAGCCTTTTTCAAATGCTGTCCTCAAGCTTACTGAGAAAGGAAATCACTCTTGGGCTGACACAGATATGGATTGTACCACCAAGTCCACTTTACTTTGGGTACTTAAGAACGTCTGGAAAAGGTAATTTATCACCATTCTCCAGAAAAATCCAGTCTTCATTAGAGGGCCAGAACAACATCAACATACTATGAACTTAACTTACATCTTGTTTTTCCAAATGCACAGCCTATCATGGAATGCAATACTTGCGAACACTTCCCTTTTTAATGTGATTTTTTTCACAAGTTTTAAATTCTGATATGTACATGTGTTGCTTACTATTTATTATTAATTCTACGATAAAGTATAGGTCAGTTGCTAATGAAGTACAAGCTACAGCTACTGTCATTGAGAAGTGACAAACAACACCTTAAAAAGCCTCTAAGGGAACAAATGCTGAGAGTATTTGAAGCATTAACAGAACATTACTGTACACAGAAATCCTGTGTTAATTTCTTGCAAATGCCTAACTCTTTATGTCTTTCCCTAGTTCCTTTATTTCTTCAACAAAGAGCATATTTTAAGATACCTTTACATGAATTATATTGAAACTAGTATTAGCTCGGCAGTACTGCTTTGACAGGACCACTTTAGTTATCTGTTTAGAACATCTGCAAAGAAAATAATTCAATTATATAAACCTCTATTTTGAAAAAAAAAAATTTAACTCTGCTCAAAACATGAACACATTAAATTTTTCAACTTATCACTGTCTTCATAAAATGTGAATGTTTCAGACGAAATTATATTTTATGTCTATTTTACAGTATTTGTTCTGTTTATTGAAAACTAAATAGTAACTTCCTAACACAGAAAATGGTTTTATGACTAGTTCATTGGCATTATGATACTAAGTTTTGTTTTTTCTCAAAGGTCTACACAACAGACAGCACAGAACTCTTCTTTTCCTTTTTCACTTTTCCTCTTTTTTGTGATAGTGTTTTGAACACCACCTACCTTGGGCAATTGCAACCAGCTTCCCCTTCTCTTCAGGGCTGAGTTGCAACATGGTGTCTATGACTGGGAGCAGCCGTTCCTTCTCACTTCCTGATTTCAGAAATATGAACTGCAATAGAACATTCTTCAAGTATTCTAGATTAGCCACAGACTTTTCTCTCTCTTGGTTTCTTTCCAATCTTCTTATTTCATTCTTCAGAAGCTGCAAATGAGGAAAAAAATATGTAATACTGCTTGCCTCACTTAATGAGTAATTGAACAAAGGTCTGTTGAAGAGGGAAAAACTGAATTGTGTAGCTTGCTTCAAACAGACTAATGGATGTTTATCAACATATTCAGGACAAAAATTCAGTGAAAATTAAATATATGATAATGTAGTAAGAAATAACTTATTGACTAAAAATACCCTTTTTGGATAAAATTTGTGCAGTATAGAGCTAAAATATCAGTGATAAAAGAGTACTAACAGTAGAACAGTTGAATAACTCAGAAATCTGATGATATTAATTTAAAAGCATTTTATAAAAGAAAGCTTAGTACATTTAGAAATGGCTTCAGAAAGCTCACTCATACATTAGTTCAAGTCTTCTTTTAACTTAAGACAGCTAAAACAGGTTACAGAAAGAGAAAACAGACAATGCTTCCCTTGAAATTTACTGCTTTTATCTAAGTGACCCTTTATTAAACATTAAACTTCCCAACTCCTGAAGTTTTTTTGTAGAAGCTTTTACTCCAACACTCTTCACCCCCTTCCCCTCAGCCAACTAGAAACTGTGATGGAAAAAAGCCAAAAAACTGAAGTATACTCTGGAAACACTAATTAGACCTGTGGAATAAAAGCCCCTCCTAAATTACGTTTTATATCACCAAAATTTTATAGACTAGGATTTTCTGAAAGATATTTGGTCTAAGAAACAGACCATGGAAATTAGAGCTGTCCCCACATCTCCTGTGTGTCTGCTAACCTTTATTTGTTCCATTAGGATTGCATTGGTTGCTTCTGATTCACGAAGTAATTCATTCAAGTGATCAGCACTCTTAGCTGTTGTGTTTAGTTTCTGAATCAGCTCATCCTTGGTGAGATCTGTTTGCCACTGAGATGGTTCTGGAATTTATTAGAAAAGAAAACTAAGAGAAGGAAAATGCACTTGCATCTACTTCATACTGACTTAACATCAGGACTTGATTAATGTAGTTTCTTATGAACAGAATTCATGCAAAGTCAGACCGCAGACTTAATGCACTCTGGAGTGCACTTAATGCACTTAGTGCAGCATGAATGCTGCTGCATGCTTATTTTCTGATCTATTTCTGTTTATATATTAGGACTGGTAAAATAGTTCTAGAGTGCCTCAAAATACCTGGTTTTAACTTATTCCTTGTTTCCTACCCATAAATAGAGATTTTCAACATTTATTCATTAAGTGTTCAGTAGAATTTTAAAACAAGATTATATGCCACCATGTATTTTTCTGGTTTTTGGGGACTCCTAAAACATTCTTTTTCATGCTGGATTTCCCTTTCCTAGAAAAAAAACTTATGAATAAAGTACTTCTAATAAGCCTCATTAAGATAAACAGAAATTTTATCCTTTCACTAACGGGGTTATATCAGCACTTAACTGTCCCTAGTAGAGACTTATCCAGAATACAAAAATTTCTATAACTATTCACTGACTTGCTCACCCAGTCTTTTCACTTTAAAAGCTCAGATATATGAAATCTTTAAATTACTAAAACCTGTAGAAATGTCCTACTGCAAGTCCTTAATCAATGAAAAGACTCCTGCAAAAGTTCAGGACAGTGTAAACTCAGTGGCACTTGACTAGACTTGTGTCTTGCACCTAAAAGCATGAAAACACAATGCTATAAAATATTTAGAGGGCGCAAACTTTTGCCACCTATGTAGGCAAGCACTTCTGAAAGCCACGTTCTACCTACCAGGCTTTGCTTCTGGTGAGTTCAGCAGTTGCTCCAAGGATTGAACATAGGTGCTGGCTGAGGACACAGACTCGGTATCTGTTGTTTCCATACCTTCTCCCTCTTCCCTAGCCACAGTGTGCACATCGAGCACAGGAAGGTCAGTGTTCCGCCGCTCTCTCAAGCTCTTCGTTGCCAGATTTGAAACAGCTGGACCTGAAAGATACTTACTGATGTTCGTATCAGAATGAAATTGGGAGGGCTATTTGCTAGGTGTGCCTGTCTCAGATTGTGAGTGGTATATAAAACAGTCTTCAAAATGCCAGGGAATGTGAAACCAAAAAAAATAACCAGATATGCATATAAAATGTATAATGGAAAAATACAGCCTTTCACCTCCAAATGGCCATTCCAATCAAAGTCTGGTTCTAAACCCAAACTTGATTGGCAATTTTTATTTCAGTAACTGTGAAACCTTCATGTACATCTCCCTGAAGATGTATTTTAGCTATGGTAAGAGTAACAAAACCTTTAATGCAAAATAATTTGCTTTTGTTTCAACCAGTCCTGTGGGAGGTGTAAATTGTTCTGTTTTATTACTGTGTGCATGATCCTTCTACTTCATTAACCACAGAGCAACTTTTTAAACTGTTACTGCTGCTTGGTAAATGTCCAATTACATCCTGATTAGAAACTTTACAGATATCAAAATAGCACTTGAGATTGAAGACATTCAAATCTTAAATTGGAAGAAGGATCAAATAGCAAGTATAATAAATAGCATGTATACAAATAACAAACATTCTTAAAATAGCTTCTAAAACACTTAAGCTTTACACTTCATACTTGAGGCAGATGTCCAGCATGCTCCAAAACCTGAGACAATATGATAAGAACACCAAACATTTACAAGGTAATTTCCCTCCATCTGTCTGATATTGCAGATACTGCAGAATAGGTATCACTGGTGCAGATTCTAGAACAGAATAGTTCCAGTAAGAAGTGACCAACAACAGGTGTCTAGGCCAACTGCCTGACCACTTCAAGGCTGATCAAAAGTTAAAATATCATCAAGGACATTGTCCAAATGCCTCTTAAAATACTGACAGGTTTGGGGCATCAATCATTTCAATGGGAAGCCTGTTCCAGAGTATGACCACCCTCTCAGTAAGAAAACACTTCCTTATGTCCAGTCTGAACCTTCCCATTGCAGCTCTGAACCAATCCCACATGTCCTGTAAGTGAATACCAGGGAGAAGAGCTCAGCACTTCCCTCCTCACTTCCCCCACTCAGGAATCTATAAGACAGCCATGAGGTTGCCCTCAGCCTGCTTTCCTCCAAACTAGACCAACCCAGTGTCCTCAGCTGCACCTCATAGGACAGTCCTTCCTGTCCTTCCACCATTTTTGTTGCCCTCCTCTGGATATATTCAAGGATTTTAGGATTCTGAAGCAACAGTAAATAATAAAAAAGATGCATTCCTGACTTGGTATCTGTGGATTGATACAGCATGCTGCAGATTTCCCAGAACAATTTGCTGTTGATTTTCCAGAATCAAACACTGTAAGCACATTTTAGCTTCAGTCTGAGGTACACAAATCTCTAAATAACCCATGGAAACCTGGTATTCTGCCTGGAAATTACCTCTAGTGCTTGGTTCACTTTTGAGTTGGAAGAGCTGAGCTTCTACTCTGGAGAGTTGCTGCTGAAGTGTCTCTACTGTCTTCCTGTGCTCTTCCTGCAGGTTCCTGACCTGATCTCTGAAATTGTTCCGGAGAGCTTCATTCTGGGCTGTCAGCTGACTCAGTGCCTGGGCATGTTCTGTTTTGATGACCATGTTCTCAGACTGTATTGTGCAGAGTCTGAAAACAGTGCATGCACAAACAGTAAGACACAAGCAGTAAAACAGTGTAAGTTTTACATTTCAAAATTTTTACAGTTTGAGGCAGTTTTCAATTTTCATGTGTATGATTATCTCAGAACTATGTGTGCAACGCTTTTTCATTTAAAGTCCTCCTTTTACAGGGAAACTGAGAATGAAGAAGCTACACATTACTTATTATATGAATGCACTGTGCTATATAAGCTCGACTTCTATTTCAGAACAAAATATTCAGACATATTTGGGAAATAATGAAAGACTTAAGAGGCACTGTGGTCTAAACATTCTTAAATTCTAAAACTGCATCATGACTTTTATAGGATCATACAGGGCATGTCACTTATACTCCACTTCCTATAACATTTATTTACAAAGCACTTACTTGGGACTTCTAAAATGTACCTTTCTAAGAAGGTAAGTTTATTTTTTTTAAACCTCAACTTTCAGTGAAGAAGAGTGTAGCTGTTAGTAAGAAAAATGACAGTAACTCATCAGTTGTACTTGGTTTGCAGGTATTCCAGAAGCACACCAAAATTGTCACAAGCAATTAAATACATTAAAAAATAATAATACATAATACAGACATGGTATATTATAATAAATAAATAAAAAATAAATAAAGTCACAAGCAATTAAACAAATGCATATATGGGAAAACTAAGCCCAGGACTTACCCTTATAAGCATACAGACTTAAACAGAGCCCTAGCAGAAAAGACCAGTGTTTAGGTATAAAGGGAAACTACTGTGAAATGGGTTCTTTCCAGAAAAATGCAGAACATAAATTCAGTTGACTACAGTGAATCATCATGTAGCTATCAGGAACAGATAAAACTGTACAAAGACAGTGACAAGAAGTCAACAGTTCCTAATATCAATCAGTAATTTCTAATTAATACTTCATGTGAATATCTTTGTACCCTAAATGGAGAAGAAAAGACAATGATAGACTCTTTTTGTGGAGCTCAGGTATTAAGATACTCACGTGACTTTAAAAGGAATGATACAGATTAAACAGATTCCACTCATTTTGAAAGAAAAATATAGCAAATTAAGCCTCTGGCAAGCACAAACTTAAAATACAGTACTTTCTGTAAGAAAGGCACTTAGTGGACAAGAACTGGGTATTTTGTCAGTGAACTTGTTTGCTTTCCATATAGCTATCTTATTTTTTTAAATAGGAAACATCCATAAAATTTAGTAGAGTGGTACAACACAAATGTGGTGCTGGGCATTAGACTTAATAATAGTAGTGTGCTTAAAAAGTGTTCATTTTTAGATCTGATAGTTACGAGGTAGGTTTGCAAAAATCTCAAATTCCCCTATCATCTACTATTTCACTGTCGTTGTGGAAGCTTCTAATGGCTTGTGAAAAATACCAAATAATCCTTTTGAAATTCCTTTAACTTTCTCAACAACATGCCTTTTCTTTGTGAAGTACAGTTATAGGCTTTCACAAGCTGAGGTCTTAAAATTCAAACAAAATAAAATATCCATATCTATTCATCAGCAGACCATACTTTTCACGGAGTTCTGCTTCTTTTGCAACAGTCTCTTGCAGCATCTTATTGTGTCTTTCCAGCAGGGTGTCATGCTCAGACTGCAATGCCTGGAGTTCAGATGCGTTCATCTGTGAATTATGCTGAGCATCTTGAAGCTTAACTTTAAGTTGATCTATCACCATTTCCAACTGTTCCCTGCACGTGGAAGAAAAAGAAATACACAACATGAATTTAAAATAACTACATTATTTCAGAACCTATATCATATCCACAACATTTTAGATAGCTGATCCAATTTGCGTATTTATTAAAAAATCAACACAGCACTAAGACCAAAAAAATCTTAGAATAAGCTGCAACAGAAACAATCAGATTCTGTTTCAACATAGAAATAGGTTTCCCACATACCATCTGAACTGCTGGGAATGCAACTATTGGGGTAGGAAGCATGACTGATAGCACTTTCCACTTCAGAAGGGAACAAGACAGAAGGAAAATAATATATGGGAATCAGATGGGAGAAAAAATTTCTTCTTTAAAGTGGTGAGGCTTTTTTTTTTCATTTGTTTAGTAAATGCACATCAGTTCAATAAAAGCAAATACAGGGGACAAACGGTTGAAGTAGATTTTGAGCAAATTACTAGAAAGCAACATCAAGTCCATAACAGATAAACTCAGTTGGTCAGAAACAAGTCAAAATCAGAAATACCAGGAAGAAAAAAATCTTAAGTCACACACATTCTTTTTTTACTTGTTTCTGTGTTTATATGTGCAGACACCTCCATTATCTCATGAACTGTCTATCTCACTAATCCTTAGTGTTAATACTTGTAAATAATTTCTTTGGGAACCATTTGTCATCTGTTTATTGCTTATCCAGTGTTTCCAAGATGGTTCTCGCTAACAAAAAAAATAACAATACCAGAAATTCTTAAAATTCTGCATAAAGGACAGAGAAAGAAATGCAACTCTTACAGTTTGTTTGCTTCAAAAGCGAGAATGTTTCAAAAACCCCAAACCAGCCCTAAACCCGACTCCTCTAACAAGGCACAAGTCGCCCTCTGGTGGGTGTTTGGCTGCACTTGCCGGTACCGACTGCGGGTCTGTGTCAGGAACGAATCCCGCCTCTCACACAAAAACGCACAGCCTGTCACCAAGGGCAGTCGTCAATGACTAATAAAAATAACTCGCAGAAACCGACTGACTTTTGCAGCGAGTTGAGACATTTTCTGAAGCGAATCTGAATTCACCTGGCTTATGACTGTACTTAAAAGATTTTCAGGGAACTTTCAGTAGTGTAACTCTTTCCTGCCAAGTCTTTCCTCATATGATACAACATACAAGATTTCATAAATCTGCAGTAACTGATGACTGAATTGGCATCCAGAGCTTTACCTACACTTAACCACTCACTCCTGAAAAATTCTAAGTGAGCTCAGCTGAACTGAATCAATCTGCTCTTCTCTTTTAGTCACAAATGGCACTTGGTTACTTCACATCAGAGAAAGTGATATGTCAAGACTATACAGAATGTGCAAGCTAATTTCATCTCATGAGAGTCATAAAAAATTCCTAAGAGCTTACTTCTCCTTCCAACTGTAACAATAGGTGATCTACATAAAAATAATGGTTAAAAAGACAAATCCAGCCATTAGAAACGAACAGAGCACCACAACAGTAGGAACTGATAGTATTTCTTCTGTTCAGCTAGACAGTGCCACAGTCAGATTACAGATCAAGTAAAAATGTTAATTTTACCTTTCTTGTTTGGCTCCTTCAGATTCTGTGCGAGCAGTAGATTTATTCTTTTGCTGTTTTAGAACATTATGAACACGGACTTTGTAGCTCTCAAATTCAGATGTAACAGATGCTTGTTCAGCCTATCACACAGAAAAGAAACCTGTAAGTTATACTATTGACTATTGCTCCCTTATTTCTCTATATTGAAATGCATCTTACACTGAAAATAATTAAAACCACCTGCTGCATTTCCTTCTTTAAAATAGATAATTAAAACAGTAACCACCATAACAGATAACATTTCTTTAGATTTTAACTGAGTTTTTTTGAGAAGCTGCATTCAGCTGTTGCTTACTGGCAGGATGCACACCTACCATACAACAGTGGCCTCAGAGTAGTGCAGTAACCCCTATAAAGGTGGTTTGAACATAACAGTCCTACTATATGTTGAATCTGTTTGTCTCCAATGCAAACACTGCATTCCAGGACCATCTAACAGTGTTATATGAGCAAAAAAATCCCAGAAACAATAATAAACTTCAGCAACAGTGTCAGTTTTCCATTTAATACAGCTGCCAATTAAGAAGCTGCTCATATTTCAGCATATTGAAAGGTGCTTGCAAATGTATTTTTTACAGCTTTTTTTCTTTAAAGTAGTATCTGTGTTAATTGGTTTTTATATGAAGCAAGTTATATTAATTTTTTTTTTTTTGTTAGTGCTCTTTTCTTTACAGAATTTTCTTTTCCCTGAGTGTGTATTTACTGATCATCTTAAATAAACCCTGGCTCCCCAGTACCACAAGTTTTTTCCCTACTGTAAATAGCAATATGCAAGTCCAGATGTTTCACTCCAAGTGATATATGTCAACCAGGACAGTCTGGCTTGTCCTTTATACCACCATTAAATTACTGGGGTAATTTGAAATTCTTGACAGGCAAAAATGGAAGAGTAAAAAAATCTGCAAAATATTTTTGAAGAAGCAAAGAGTGCAAGTAATCTCCCTTCTTAAGCCTTTAAGATTACTTCTGACACGGGAATACCTGGGCTGCTCTGCACTCTTCTTGCAGGGTCGCAATTTTTTGCTGACAAGCACTCATCGTACGCTGGTGCTGCTCTGAAGACGTTCGCAGCTGTTCCTGAACTTTATGCTTTTCTGATGTCAGTACAGCCACTTGAATCTGAAACAGTCAGTTGAAAACTTCACTACCATGAAAACTTTTCCTGCTTCTCCAAGGAAACTTGCCACTGAGAACCTAGAACTCTACTACAGTAATTCCTGCACAGAACTGGTGAATACAAAATTAAAATCCAATAAAAATAGAATAAAAAATATAGACATGGGTTACCATGTAATAATTTTTAAAATATGATCCTGTTTAAAGAGAGAATTGAAGATATAATTACAATGTTGGGGTGGCAGCATTTAAGAAAGCCAACCTCTCTCCCTTTCCTGCTTCTTTTATTACATTCCATTTCTATTCCATATTACAGATAGATAACACTTAGGATGTTTGCTGACAATGTTGTGCTCTTCTGTTTTTAAACTGAACAACTTCCATTTTTAAAGAAACGTTAAAAAATATGTTCCAGTTACAAGCTTCAAACTCCACAGTCCTCTCCTTTGGTGGAAAGGAAAAGAGGAAAACGGGTAAATCCACTTAAAAAATCACAGGAAAAAATATATGGGGAAAGCAGCAAACAGACAAAACTCATTCAAGAAAACTAAAAGTAAAAATAGCACCTCTTTATCTTCAGACTATATTCCATGTGCCCAGGACAAATCACACCCTTACTACTTAAATGAGAAAACTTGTACTAACAAAAAGTGAATTTTCTTGCCTTATAGGCTTCCACTTGCTGTTGACTGGCTTCCAGTTCCCCTTTCAACGATGCCTGCAACATTAGATGGTCATTTTCCTGCAAGATAAAATTACCTGGAGATTAAAAAAAAAACCAAACCTGCAAACTTCAGTAACCTAAAAATTCAGCTTCCAGCTGTTTTTTAAAATCTAGTTTAAAAATAGAATACACAGTCATTAGCCTATGGACTTACAGCTTGTTTTGAATCAGCCAGTTCTTTTTTGGTTTTCACCAGGAGTTGTTTTATCTTGGCACTTCTTTCCTCATCCTGTTGCATAGTTGACTGAAGTGACTCTAATGCAGAGAAAAACAATTATATGCAAAGGAAACTTCCCCTCTTGTATTTCTTTAAAAATGCTGGAAAATACTTTAAAAATTCCAACAGATTCCTTAAGAGCTGCAAACAAGTAGCTTACAGTAATTTTAGTAAACTTTCCTAAGTTATCACAAAGATCTTAAAAGAAATGAAATGTTTTCAAGATTTACACTTGAGCATAGGAAGAAATGGAATTTTCACATGGTAATCAGTAAAGTTTTATGAGTGTGGTATATCCAAATGAAACCCTTGTCAGTCACCGATATTTATCATTTATGAATAACTTTATCAGGTAATAAACACAGTATGACAGGCAGGTAAACTGGCTTTTAAGTGCTGAACACTGGTTTAGGTGATAACCTAGTAAAGGTTATCAATCAAAGACAAAATTGCTTTCCTAATGCAACTGTTTAGTATTCCCTGCAAAGCTTACCCTCACTTGCTGACTTGAGAAGTTTCTGAATTGTATCTTTTACCACAGGTACCTATACCATAGTGACTTTTCTGTTTATAGCTTAACTCACTTATTTCTTCCTGTAGCGTCTCTTGTTTCTGTTTCTGAATCCCTGCTTCTTGCTCCAGATCTTCTATTCTGCTGTCTTTATCAGTAATCTTCTGATTAAGTTCTTTTACTAGCCTTTCATAATCAGCTATTTCCATATCCATCAGTGTACTCTTATGAGCATCCTGCAAGGTATACAAAATGAAGTTAGAGCTTACAATTTGCCTAGCATGTTATGACTTTTGTAATTCTGTAAAAAATTATATTGTCCATCAGACAAAGATTTTGTATCCATCCATGTCCACAAACATTACCCATCCACTGGGTTTCCATATCCTCCAGTAAATAATCTGTTTTCAAACAAGAATCAAAAGCTTTGAAAAACCTGTTGCAAATTTTATCAGTAGGTATTTTGTATGTATTAGTTTTTGTCATCTTTAGTCCTTACAACCAAGGCAATTTCTTAACAGTGCACTATACATGTACTCCAGAAATCTGAATTCTATTCCTATTTCTAATCATGAAAGGCCATATAACCCAAGCTAAACAAACAAAAAATAAGACCAAAACCAATTCCAAAAGTACATTTCAGCTCTCCAAGCACACAACCAGGGGCCAAAGCTCTCACATTCTCCCTTTTGCAAACCTCCAGCTTTAAAATCCTCAGAACAGAAAGGCAGGCATTCAACACAGCCAGATGGGTCAACTTTAGTAGTCCACAAAGCACTAACATGGATGGCAACTCTACCTTTCTGGCCAACTCTAGCTCTTGCATAGTTTTCTGCAGATGTTTCTTTTCCTTCTGAAGTTGCATCTGAAGCTCCTCTATTTCTCGGAGAGCACCACTATGTTCCTGAAATTTAAGCAGTTGTCAATTATGCAGTCCAATTTCAAAATAGATGCCAACATCTACACACACACAAACACACACACACACACACTCGTGTTGTACAAAGGTAGTCGATTCCTTTCTTAGGAAATCACTGTGAACCAGAGAAAAACCAACAATACTATGAAGTGGTTTTCACATTCTGTATAAATACCCCTAACCTGAACTGACAGCCTTGCAAAGTTCTTTCAGTGAACAGACCAAGTTTCCAAAAAAGTCAAGTAACATGGAGGGAAAGTGCAGAACCTGGTCTATACAAACACAGTTTACAAAGGTCTAACAGAAATCACATCCAATGTAAGTAATGCTTCAGCCCATTCACCATCTCTATGAAGTACTACCTTTGTTTTCTGCTCTCTTAGAAGCTTTTCAGCTTCTAGTTCTTTGTCAGCCTTTGCTTTGGCTCTTTGTATCTCCAGTATCTGAGTTTCCAGCAGCTTAGCATTATTTTGCAGTGTTTCAACACGAGCCAGGAGGTCTTCATTAGCAGAGTGCAACTGATCGTGCTGAAATAAGAACAGTGGAATGATAAAAACATAAGCTGCATTTATGTGCAATGTTAACAGCTAAAATATTTTCTGTGTTTAAAAAAATACCCAACACTGATTTCTATCTAAATCCCGTACAAACAACATTCCTACAGATGAGTTTTGTCCAGCTTAATTCTGTTAATTCAGATAAACAAACAAGTGAAATTAAAGACATAAGCACATATTGGTTATTTCGTTCAGTTAATTTGCCCAGCTTTCTGTAAAATGGCAAGAATCAAACAAATCTGAAAAAAATACTCAAAAACTTATGCTTTCTGCATTATCACTGTCCCCTTGCAACAATACAGTATTTCAATACCTATTGCCACACTCCAAATACAGCTGATATATCATCATTTATAAACAAATGATCATACTATTAACTCCTAAAAAAGGCTGAACTGCAAGCTTTGACTGAACCACCAAGTCTTCCACCAGTACCTAGTAAGAACTCTACTGCATCAGGCATACTTTTGCAATGACTTTACAGATTTAATTTTGACATTTTCAATGATGTATGCTAGTCTTTATTTTGCCTATTAAGAATGAAGTATAAGTGAAAGATGTCAACTACCTAAACAGCATTTTATTTGCAAATTCTTTATAACTTGAAAAATGCAAAGCCTGCATAATCAGCAGGCTGATTATTTATATTATTATTTCTCTTATTCTACTATTATTTCTTATTTCTTCCCATGCTATTGACTACTGGCTTGTGTTTATAAGGAAACAGTGGCCTAGGTGGATCTTTAGTTTATGGGGAATTTAAATCCTAAATGCCAAACCCACTGCAGTGAGCTTTGCAAAAATGTGTCTCACAGCCTCTTAATGACTATCTAAGACTCTTCTGAATGCCAGTACTCTACAATGCATCCTAAAGTTTCATCCTTGTGAAAAATGCAAAATCCATAATTTATTTGGTATATTTATACATTCTGTTGATCAAACAAAAAAATTTTAAAAAACCCAAAGCCACATTTTGTTGAAGTAATAGAAGAAAAAATGTCTCCGTTAAAGGTTACTGCACTTAACAAGAAGTGTAGGTGTGCAGTCAGAGAAACAGTGCAAGTTTGATACTTGCAGTAGAGCTGTAGGTCCAAAATCAAGCCAGAGATGATCTGCTCTTTTCTGTGAGTTGACCTGGGGTAAATTAAACTCTTTCTATCCACAAAGTCAGATATTCTAGATACATTTATCTTTGTCAAGGCCCAGGTAAGATATCAGATGTTGAAAAGGAACAAATAAACCACTCTGAATTTCAAGTCACTAACTAAAACACACTTAGGTTATGAAACTAAAGTAACAATCACATGATTAGGACTTGAACCCAATAGGCAGAATTAATTCTCATGGTACTTATCAATAGATCAGACCCACATAAAGAACTGACCTGCTCAGATGACACCTGTAGCTGTCTTGTGAGGTCATCTATCTGGCGTTCAAGATTATTTGCTTTGCCTTTTTCAGAATCCAGCTGTTCTCCTTGCTTGTCGTATTCCATCAAAAGATTCTTAACACATACAAACACAAAAGCATAATTTTTTACAAGATGTATTGCATAAGCACATTGTATACCTCTGAGGTGTGCTTACCCAGTATTTCATTATATGAGTTGTCTTACTGCAACATCAGAAATATCAGAATGAAATTAAAGCTATCGTTCCATTACAGGCTCTGGGAGAAACCCCTTTCAGTTCATGACATTCTAGAATAATTCAGGTTGGAAGACAGCTCAGCAGATGTCTCCCTCCTGCTTAAAATAGGGTCAGCAGTGAGATGATACCAGGTTGCTCAGAGCCTTGTCCAATCATGTCTTTCCAAGGACCTGCCTCCTAAAATGGAGATGGCTACTCCACTAGGCAACCTATTCAAAAGCTTGACCATTCTCATAACATAAAAATGTTTATTCATGTATCCAATTGGAATCTCTCCCTTCAATTGAGGACTACTGTCTTATCATGCACCATCATTAATAACCTGACTCTCTTCCCTTCATAATGTCTTTGTAAGTACTGGAAGACTCCTATCAGGTTCCTTCGAAGTTTTCTCCAGGCTGAGCAACTTCTCATCACTTATTCCAGTCCCTTGACCACCCTGGTCATCCCCCACACTGAAATCACTTCAAGTTATCAATGTCTTTCTTGTGTTTGGGGGGAGAAGGAGGGACAAGAGTGGATGTAAGACTCTCAATGATGTCACAGAATAATTTAGATGATTCTTTAATATCATTGAATGCAAATGTAAACCCAGCACTGCCAAATCCACCACTAACATATGTCCTTAAGTGCCATGTTTTTATTCTTGTATATAAAGTGCTTGCTGTGTTTACTTATTATACTTCAAATACCACCAGGGATCGTGATTCCATTGCTTCCCTGTTCTAATGCTCAAGCACCCTTCTTTTAAAGAAACTGTTCCTAATATCCAATCTAAACCTCTCCTGGTAGAACTTAAGGACATTTCCCTCTGTCCTATCTTGTTGCTTGAGAAAAAAGACTGATCAATCCCCACCTGACTACACCCTCCTTCCAGGTGTTTGGAGAGAGCGATAAGCCTCCCCTGAGCCTGCTCTTCTCCAGACTACATAACCTCAGTTCCCTCAGCTTCTCCTCCTAAGTCTTACAGGGAACAGCTTTCACAGGGAAGCAATGCTGACTCGTCACCTGCTTCTGCTTCATGTGCCCAGAGATGTGCTCCAAGAAGACTTGCTTCCAGGAAATTACAAGCTTGTCTTTATCATTTAAGGATTTTCAAACTGATCTTCAATTTTACATACTTTTCAGAATTCACAGGGATTTATTTTTTACCTAGCAACATATTGCTTGGTATGTATGATGCCAGATTCAAAAGGGTTAAAAATAGCATTCCGGTAGAAAGGAAGTGTCTCATCTTCTTCTGACAGCAGCTGCATGGTTCCCTTAAGAGAACCTTACATTTCTTGATTCTGGTATTCAACTGCACTGACACAATTTCTTTTGCCAAACATAATTGTGCAACTAAATAGCAACATATATCCAGACTAGGCTTCAAACCCGAAGTATTTTCCGACAGTTTACTATCTTTAGTGAATGCAGCACTATTCTTACCTTATAGCTTTCAGCTCCTTGAATTACATCTTTCATTGAAGCAGACAATTGATCTTTTTCTGATCGAACCAACTCCAACTCTTCCTTCAGAGTCTGCATCTTATTAAAAAGAAGAGTGTGTCATTAAAATAAAGCCCTCCATGCAGAATCTTATACATATTAGGAAGTAATCGGTACCTCTTTTCGGCTGGCATCTAATTCTTTCTTTGCTTTCACAGCAACCACTTTAATTTTATTTAGCTTCTCTCCTTTTTCAGCAGATTCTTTTTCAAGCACCCCTAAAAGAAATACATAAGAAAATTTAAAATTACACCTTTCCATTTCTTCCCAAGAAATGAAATTAAACGAAATTGAATTGGAACAAAAACATCAGCAAGACTTTAAAACCAAACAAAATATACAGCAGGGGGTCAAGCATTTAATTTGAAGCTAAAACACCCAGACACAGAGAGAATTTAGAGACAATCTTTCCTTGGACAATCTTTCCAATTCTTCATTTCAGAAGCTTTCATCACAATTAAAAGTGATATTCCTGTCTACTTCTACATAAATCTAACAACTCAGAAGCATTTTCCTGCTTTTGTGTTGGGGTAACTGCAATAAAGCAACAGTAGTTTTGGCAGTGTTGCTTCCCTTTCCTTCTGACAGTCTCAGGGATTCTTACTGATAAATTTCCCACATTAAAAAATAAAGATTAAATCCACTACACTGTTTACAGACAGATGTACAGAGGAAGAAAAAGCCTTAAAAACTACCACATCATATCCCAACTTAAAACTGCTAACATTTTAAATCTCCAATGGAAGGAATACTGTAGGAAGATGCATTAATATCCACTTCCCCATCTTCCTCAACTTGTGGAAATACAGGACAATAATGCAAAGAAAGAAAAGGTATATATCCAAAGAAGCCAGACCATTTATACAGCAGGAAAAAAGTGAGAAAGATACCAATTTTTTCTTGAAGCTCTGCTACTGAAGACTGTTGATCAGTTTTCCCAGTCATTGTCTCCATTAAATTCTGTATTATAAACAAAGATATAAGAAGTATTACAAACATTTCTTTGTGCTACCTGTTTTGTTCCTAACAAGCCACCAGAAGTTTCAGCTACAGCTAAACTATGTTCTTACAACCAGGAAAGCCTTTGTGAGCAACTTTGTATCAGCTTGGTGAAAATGCAGTTATGCTGAAAGCAGAACATGCTAATCTTTTAAGAACTGCTTTCCATCCTGTCCAAGAACAAAAAAGGGGAGACACCCTCGTTCTGCAGCTGTCAGCTTTACTAAACCAGCAATTCGCAAGACCTGAAGCTAATGCAGATCAAGAAGTTTTGTTTGAGATGGAACCATAGAAAGTTAGAGGTGAAAGATTATGAGGTCAGGTAGTCCATCTAGTAAATTGATTGCTTCAAGGGATATTGATGGGAATAAAGGTTCAAGTACAAGCAACTTTTGCCAAAAAAAGCATTATGATTGGTTTTGTTTAATTTTTTTTTTCCCTGGGGGAAAGAAGGGAATTCTGGGGTGCTAGAAAACTCTGAAATATGTGCTTTCTAGGAGGGAGACTCAATTTGAGGCCAAGGGGAAAAAAAGAAAAAAACAAGAAAAGAGAGAATTGAAAGTATTTTTTGAACCTTAATTCTGAAGACTTTAGAGGTTTAGTCTTTATACTTCAATAACAAAATATAACCTTTAGAGAACTCAGTTCGTCTTTCACATTTCTAAGCTCAGTTTCCTTTTGTTCCAGAACGAAATTTAAGTCGTCTTGTTTTTCAGGTTCTTTTTGCTGTTCTTGTAATTGGCTTTCATAAAGAGCAAGTTTTTGACTAATTTCTTCAGTATTAGCTAAAAGATCTTGATTTTCAATCCTTATTTTTTCGCTGGCATTCCTCAGCTCCTGAATATCGTGTTGAAGCGCTTCTTTTTCAGACAATACTCCTTCCAGTTCTTCTCTCAAGAGATTTTTTTCTTTTTCAAAATCCTGAATCAGGGATCTATGTTCTCTATGTTGAGCTGCATTTTCTTCCTCTAATCTCTCAACTTCTCGCCGCAAACTAATGACTTCTTCCTCCTTTTGTAGAGCAAGGCACTGCTCTTCTTTAATTTTTGACAAGCATTCATTTGCAATTTTTAACAAGTTAAGAGAGTCATATTCTTCATTAGAATCTGAAATGCTGAACCCCACTTGCTCAAGTAAGTGGTACAGCTGTGTTCTTACAAGGGATGTGTGCACTTGTTCATTTTCAAGTAATGCTGATATATGGTCTTTTTCTGCAGTCATCATTTGTAGTTTCTTTTCCAAGTTTTCAGACTGCTCTTTCAATACTAAACAACTATCTTTTTCAGATGTAGTCCTTCCTAGCTTTTCACTTAATTCACCTTTTTCCTGACCAAGTTTCCTATTTTCCTCATGAAGAGTGTACACTTCAGATGAAAGCTGTTCTTTATCATGCACCAGACATTCAATCTGTTTTTCTAGTTGCTCTAGCATTTGAGTATTTTTACCCTTTGAAGTTAAAGCTTCATTCAGTCTCTCTGTTAATTCCTCTACCTTTTGTTTCAGGTCATTATTGCACTGGTTAGCAACATCTACTTCTTGCTGAAGTTCCTGAATTTTATTTTGTTCTTGCTTGCACATTTCCTGAAGGGTTTTTCTCTCTTCACCCAAGCATTTTACATCATTTAAAATATCCCTGTTTTGATCAGTAAGAGCAACGATCTTCTCTTCCAGTTCTCTTACAGTAATCTCTTTTTGGTCAATGGAACTTGTCATTGTGCTATTGTCCTCCTGAAGACTAATGATTTTACATTTAAGTTCTTCTATCTCTGACTGATTAGATGACAATTTTTCTACTTCTTCCTGAAGGCGATTTACAGTTTCAAGGAGAACATCCCTTTCATTGAAAGCAGCTCGAAGTTTCTGTTGCAGTTGACTGACATCAGAAGCTTGCTGTTGTTTCATTGATTCAAACTCCTGGCTGATCTTCCCAGCAGATTCGCCTAGCTCAGCCTGTAGAGTTTCCATTGTTTCTCTCAGGCTATTGTAACTGGACACTGCTTCTTCCTTCTCCTGAGTTAGCTTTTCAAGTTGTTCTCTAAGTTCCTGCATTTCAAAAACTAATGCCATCTGCTCTTTTTCAGAACCAGATAATAACGTTTCATTTAGTTCAGAAATTTCTCTCTGGTGTTGATCTTTCAGAGTCTGAATCTCTAATTTGTGCTCTTTTGCAGCAGTTTCATAGTGCTGTCCTGCTGCTTGAAGCTCCAATTTTAGTTTTTCAATTACACAGCAGCAATCTTCTTTAGTAAGCTGCAATTCATTTATCTTAAAATCCAAGTCTTCCCGCTCATGAAAGTACTCATCCTTCATACGATGGATTTCCTCTTCCAGTTTTATCTTGACATTGCTCATATAAGTTAACTCGTCTTTTAATATACTATGCTGCGACTGGAGTTCTTCTAAACTGTGCTCCAGGTACCTAACTTTTTCCTCCATTTTTGCTTTTACACAAGGTTCTTCTTGTGTATCTGCAACATCTCTCTTGTTTTCTAAATTTTTATGTAAGACTTCTCTCAGCTGCTCCAAGTCATATTCACGCTGGTCAGTCTGAGCACTCATTTCATCCTGGACATTTTTCTCTGTCAAATTGTGCTGTAACTGATTTATTTGATTTTGCTTTTCTTCATTTTCTTTAGATGATATTTCAATCTGATGCATTAGTTCTGACAACTCTTCCTGATGAGCAGTTTTTAATTTTTTAAGCTCTTCATTCAGAGTTTTTATTTCATTATGGTAACACTGAGAGTTGCTTTTAATAGTTTCTTGCAGATTTGTCACTTCTTTGTTTTTGTCTTCATTTACAGCTTCCAACTGCTTGTTCAGACACAAAATTTGCTCCTCATAAGTAGATTTCATTCTTTGGACATCATCTTGTAATCTTTTAACTTCTTTTTGACTATCATTGTAACATTCAACCTGTTCCAGCAGTTCCATTTGTTTCTTCACTTGTTCATCCAATTCCATCTTCAGCTTTTTTAAATCCTCATTGTGCTTGCATTGCGCATTTGCTAATTCACTCTTCAGAGCTTTTATTTCTTCCAGAGAGTCAGTTCTTGCTTGTTCCAGTTGCTTCTGCAATTCTTCTGTTTTAGCCACTGAAGCCTAGACAAACAAGCAAATTATTAAATACTGGTAATGTAGCACACAGAATTTCCAAGTGAACTGTTTACAATAATGAATTAGAAAACCTAGTAGTCCACAGTTTTAAAAACTGCTATAACTTTTAAATATCTGACTGTATTAGGACAACTCCATTCAGAAGTCACTACACAGAGTACAAGAACATTTGCAAAATGAGAAAGAAAAACTAAGTCTTAGATCATGTTTACCAGCATAATTTCACAAAATGGTCACAACAGACTTTAGCTTTAGCAACTATTCTGATAATGTATTAAAGATCAGATAACTTTTAGTGCATCAAACTCAGGTATCTGGAATATAACAATGTCTATCAATTGCAAGCAATTCAGTCTTCTCTTTATCATTAATTGAGATTATTGATATAATATGGGTGCCTTAGCTGACAGGCTCCTCCTTAGGAATATCTAAAGGTAAAGCTCACTTGAATATCTAAAGGTTTACCTTGTAAAGATAAACCTGTGCTCCCATGAAAAGATAGAGCTGATTGATCGAAGCCTATGTAGGCTTTTAATGCACAGACTGAATTCTTCTTGCAGCTGTGGATCTAAACAGTGTACATAAGGATTTTTTATTTATTATTATAAACTGGGGGGTACAGAGAAAACATGCTTTAATACATAAAGCCTTTATATTTTTTAGATTTTTTAAGAGATAGAACACAGGTAAGTGAAGAAAAATATTAAAATTAGGTACACTACAAGCAAAGCTAGAAAATAAACAAAATTCTGAAATATTTCAGTAATGTTCCGCGGCTCATTTCAGTACCTCTGCTTCTTGCTTTATTTGAATGTTTTCTTTTTTCAGAGCTATGCACTGCTGCTGACTTTCAGCTTTTTCCAGAAGCACAACATCCAGCCTTTCTGTGAGAGCCTAATATTAAATGAGAAAGATCACTGAAAGAAGGGTTTCTTAACAATGGAAACACTGATTTCTGCAAAATGTAGGAACTCATATATAGATTATGACACTTTATGTCAAATAAACACATCAGTCAGCAATTTAAAAATTGCTTTCAGCCCAAATACAACTGATATGAAACAGGTAGACTAAAACAATGATTTTGTGTTCTTTTAAAAATTGCACTTGTGACCAGCTAATTTTTATTACCAGGTGATGGTAGTGAAGTTCCCTCTCAGTAGAAAAGAAATCTCTATCCAAATTATTCAAAATAATTCTCTAAGTAAGAAATTATTCCTCCTCACTACCAATTTTCATTTTCATATGCTATGACCCTTATCTTCAGAAAACATCCTAAAAGCATTTCTTGTGACATGCAACTTTAATTATGTGTTTCTAATCTCATCAAATGACTGTCTCAGAACTTTTCTACATGGCTGAAGTCCTTCTGCAATGGTCACTCCAAAATAAACTAAAACTGGTCTAACCAGCCACATGAGGAAAAGTCTTACAGGGGCCATTCTAGTCACAGAATAGATTGGGTGGGCAGGGACCTTTAAAGGCCATCTAGTCCAACCCCCTGTAGTGAGCAGGCACATCTTCAACTCCATGAGGTTGCCAAGAGTCCCATTCAACCTGATCTTGGGTGGGGGATCACCCCTTTCCAGGGGTGGGGAATCTACCACTTCTCTGAGAAACCTTTTCCAATGTTCCACTGCCTTCTGTGTAAAAAAAAATCTTCCTTACATCTAACCTAAATCAACCCTCTGTTTAAAACCATTATCTGTTTTCTATTGTAACAGACCCTGCTGAAAATCACATCTTATGAGCCCTCTTCAGTTACTGAAGTGCTGTGGTAAGTTTTGCCTGGAAAGTGTACTACTCTGTACTGTTCCTCACAGAACCAAGAGTGTTTGCTGGCAACTGGAGTAAGGATGTGAGGGGAGAAGGAAAAAAAAAGAGTTTTAGGAAGTGTCTTGGATACCTGCAGATTGATTCCACTCAATTTGAGTCACAGTTTTTAAGCTATTAACTATTTACCAAATTAATTCTGTGGATTTATTTCAGCTGACTTTACATAATACAATAGAAACAAATTACATGTTCCTACCTGAATAATATCATCAGCTCCTGCAGCAGCTGCTTTAGATCGCAGTTCTTCAATTTCTTTCTCCAGTTCTTAAAATGTAAAGAAATTTGACAGTATGTATTGATGCTGCATTACAGTAGCAAATGTTAGTAAATCCTTTGCCTGACAACACTTCTATTTAAATCAGAGAGGTCTTTTAGTTTATCAGCTTTTGTTTGTTACTGAGTGATAGACAGGACTAACAGAAAGAGAACAAATATTCATTACTACTTCTCTAGTCCTGACCCCAAAGCATGGCTTCCCGAGGAAGCAAAACTTCCTTGCTTGGATAGAGGGACAACAGATAGAAATTTTTCTGAAGATCATCTTACCTTCTATTTCATGGTCAATTTAAATCAGAGGAAAGATACTCAGTTTCTACTGTTTCTTTAAAAATAGGCAGCAAGCAGAACAGCAAGATCTTATGAATAACCACACTGAGGAAAAGCCTGGTAAAGCCCATTTCTGTATTGTTATTGTTTCAGAGGGCAGCTACCATCAGTCAGCATAACTGTCATTCCAAACAAGGGGAGGTGACACCAGTTCAAGCAGTGGGCCACAGGAGGAAAAGGGACTGCAGAGTGGACAAGGACAGCACATGAGAGGACAGATTTACAGGGACTCTAAAGTGTTAAGCATAAAATTTTGTTTGGTATATTTTATAATTTATTGTTAAAGCAATAAATGATCAAATATAAAGTAGCAAAATATCTTAAAGAAGTTACTGTACTCTACAACAAACTACACTCTACTAATTATGCAAAAAAATAGGAGACATTCCTGCTCCCATTTGCTTCCTGAAAAGCAACCTGCACCAATATGGGGAACAGACAATGACAAATCCCACTTCAACTTTTCCACAAGCTACACTGTTCCATCATGCCACACTGTCAGACCAAAATTAATTTAATACCTTTCAAAAGCAATGCTTCTTTTCTTCTCTTTCTTAATCAAATTAATTCGGTCCTTATCCTCCCACCATAAATAGCAAAACTGAAGAAAAATACAATCTAGTGTTTTTGCCTAGAATTTAAATCTGCCTATCAAAAGCACACAGTGATATCTGAAAAGGTCAGGTAGTGCCAAGCATTAAGGCATAAATTGCACTTTCCAGTAAGATACCTGCACATCTTGACTTCACTTTCTGTATAAGCATCATTTGCTTTTTTGCAAACTTGATGAGGTCTTCTTTGGGCAATGTGTCCAGCTGTAAAGAAAGAAACTATGTATCAGAGAAACTAGTTCCTCTAACCCAGAGGGAAATACAAACAAGGCATTTTAGCATCTCACTGCCAAAAAGCTGAATTTTAGGACAAGAAACTCTTGCCATACATTTGCCAGAAGAGTAACATTTCAAAGAAGAATAACAGTCCAAGTTACCGATGTTCTGTTGTCCAATTCTATTATTTCAATTACAGTAACAAAAACTACTCCTCATTCTGTACATGTCTGAAACAATTCTGAAGCACACAACTGGGCAGCGTCACTTAGGAAAACTCAGTTAGGAAGGATTACAATTCAGTAATATAATTTGAGCAATATTTTGAAAATAGCTTGCTGACCTAACATTGTCACTGTTTAAATTTACTTCCTATGGATGCAAAGATGTCTGGGTCCATTATGAAACAGACTGCTGCCAAAACTAGATGCCATTAATAATTTATCAAATATAACAGGAAGTGAACATACCAAAAAGATTTTTTTTTTCCCTCGTGATTTCCAAAACACTTTATCTTAATGTTTATAAGTTAATTGTTCATGTCTAGAAGAATTGTTAAAAATATCTTTGTCTTCCTAGTAGTCAGAGCTTGCATGCTAACCCTTCCAACTGCTGCTAGCCAAATAAATTAGGTTTGTGAGGACTGATTACCTTGGATTTGCCTGATCCTGGTGTTCCAGAAGACCCCACCATCTCTTGCCCAGCATCTTGAACCTACAACAAAATGAAGTACAATCTGCAGTAACAGACTTTTGGTGTAAGACTACCAAAAGAACTAATTGAAAGTCTCCAAACAGAGAGGAACTGAATATAGCAAAAGCACAAGAAAAAAGTAAACCAAAAATTTTAAAACAACATGTATTTGTAGATGAGTCAGAAACACTGGAAAAAGATCTCCTGTGATTATTAGAACAGCAGAATAGAAAGCTCCCAATGTCCAAACCAGTATGATCTTATGATTCCATTACTGAATGGACATGTAGAGCTGATACAGTATTGCAAATTAATTTTATTTACAAGCGTATTGGAGTTGCAGTTAAATCAAACCTTGGGAACTTTTGAACCACATATGCTCCTAATCTTTTTTTTGTTTCCTTCTTAAACACACTGGCTTATCACTAAAATTGTTAGCCTATCAAATATATTCCAAGAGACTCAGAAAAGCTGGGGCTCATTTGGACAAATTATAACCCCTCTCTTTCTTTTTTTTTTTTAAGCATACTAGTTCCCACTAGGATTGCTGGCCTAACACACATATCTGAAAAGGCTCTGCAAATTCTGTGCTCCCTATCCCTAAAATACATGCAAAATGACTTCCTGCCTTCCACTGTAAATTTCCACCTGGGAGATTGTTACTTTACAGTGATTTATATGGGATATGCTTATGTATAATCAGGACCACAAAGAAATGTATGCAGCCACGATGATGCGAAGGAAAAGGGAACAGACGCTTCCAATATATTAGGAATAGCATTTCCAAGCCTTTCCCTTTACCCTACTTTTTTCTTCATACTATCTATCATATATGCATGAGTATAAAAGTGAAGAGGTGTATATATAAATATTTTTATATATCTAGATGTGTGTGTGTGCATGTATACACACCTACCCTCACTTTTATTCTGCTACTCTCTTCATTCTGCCAAAAAAAATCAAAACCCTTATAGTAGAAACTAAGGAAGAACCAAACTGGATCTGATCGCTATGAGAATGGGCAATCACTAATAATTTAGACAGAACAGGTGATACAGATAATAAAAAGCATCACCTTTAGAAATATGAGTTCAAGCACAGACCAAGGACAAAGGCAGTTATAATCATCGATGCACACATATGTTAAGTATTTGGGGTTTTTTTTTAAGATAGCAAAAAGAAAGTTATTAGGAAAAAACGTGCTGCACAGCATTAGGAAAAACAAAGCTATAAAGTTTCAGATTTTCTTAGCATGTAGAACTTTGTCAACATTTATACTCCTAATATTTTAGCACTTGGACAGCATAATGAATTACAACAAACTGCATGTACTGTTCATAAAATGACAGCTCACTACTCTTCATACTACAGCAAGGTCAGATAAATTTTCTTCTCACAATACTTTTACTCCTTACTATTTTAAGCTAATACATACAGAAGCATAATCACTTGCTGTGTAAAACAATGCATCCAGTTTTGCTGTCCTGGTAACAGAAACCACAGGCAGCTCATGTTGAGGGCTTCACCCACTTGAGTTAAAAGAAAAATGAGGAAGATAAGCTACCAAAAAACCCTGAACTTTTCATTGATTAGTTGCATCCGAGCTGTAAGCCAGCAGCTACTATGCTTTTGAGCCCAATACAATCCTGCATGGTTTCTAGTCCACCATTCTGAAATCTGGATGCTTCCATAGTTTACTGATATATATACACACACACACATACATTCTTTTTTTAGATTTTATTTCAAGCCTACTTTACCCGCTACACTTAGGGGTTTCCAGGCCACACTTCAAGATGCTCTATGTATTTTAACAGCTATCTATCCCTTACTTTTGCAATAGCTTAATATACTCTTAGAAAGCCTAACCAATGCATAAATGCAATATATTAACCTTTGCTGTGAACTGTGGCATTAGTGGCCATCATGAACAGCAATTTTCTGAGCAGTGTGCAACCATTAGACATCACCAACCCTAAGTGTACCAAGTCACATCAAAACGCTTGTGATTGCTTCAACCAACAGTAGCATTGAACCTCTATTAGAATGTGGCACACAAGCAGCACAGACACTACCAGAAGAGTTAATTTAATGTGTGAACTTAAAAGTCCTCAACGCTGCCTTTAGATTTGCCCTGGTGTTTATAAAAGCTACACTAGATACAGACACTTCAGTGGTTCTATTTGTTTGCGTTGGTAGGTGTTTCACAGCTGACGTCCTGTTAACACACCGGGTCACCTCAGTGAAAAAGGAGCCCTTGTTGGCCCTTGGGCGCTGCCACACAAGTGACCACACAACGCCTGGCCGTGTGTCACCGAGTGTCGCTGCCCTCGAGCCCGCGCCAACAGGGCGACGTCCCCACCTTCTGAGCAGGAGGGGCACCACACCAGCCCCTGGCAGCCGCACGGGCGCTCGCATTTCCGCAGGGCAGAGGCAGCGGCAGCAGCAGCGGCAGGGCCCCTGCCCGCCCCCGGCCTCCCTCACAGCTGCCGCCCGCCGGGGCTGCGCCACCCGCGGGGCTGCGAGGCGGCGGCAAAGGGCGCCCAGCGGCCCCCGGGCTCCTCCGCCCGCACCGCGGGAAGGGAAAGGAACCCGCGGAGTGGGAGGGGCCGGCCCGCACCTTCCCCAGCCCCCCGTGCCGCTTGCCAAGGTCACGCACCGCCCCCTCCGCGCCCGCCCCAGCCGCGGTGACCCCGAGGGCTCCGCGGCCCCTCTGCCCAGCCGCGTTACCTCCATGGCGGGGCCGGCCGGCTGCAGGGGCGGGGAGATCGCGGCGCCACAGCCGCTGCCAGCGCCGCTACATCCTCCCCGAGCCGCTTCCGCCTCCGTCATCCCGGCACGCCGGGCTGGCCGGGCTCGGGCCGTCCGTCACGGAGCGCCGCCCCGGGGGACGGGCGGGGCTGCGCAGGGCCGCTGCCCGGGCGGCAGGAGCCCGGGGCTGGGCCGTGGCGTCGCTGCCGGCCTCGTGTTCTCGGCCTTAGGAAACGCGGAAAGGGGAAAGGGTACGGCAGCAACACGAGTGCACCCCGCTGTTCCCTGTTTCTGAAGGGCGCCTAAGGGCAAAGCAGCGCTGCAGGCTCTTGTCTCACTGCCACCATAAGGAGAATGTGAGGTGGAGGGTGATGTGCTCGGGTAGAAACGTAGCGATTTAAGACCGATTTTTAATACCTTGATGGGAACGCAAAGTGATTGAAATTATTTATCAAATAAATACGGCGGGTGCCAATAGGATGGTGCCAGACTTTCCATCAGTGCCCAGCGACAGGACCAGGAGCAGCGGCCTAAAATAAAAGCACAAGAAGTTTCCCCCCAACATGAGTAAGAACTTTCCTTAAGGGCAGCAGAGCACTGACACAGCTGCCCAGGGGGCTTGTGGAGTCTCCCTCTGGAGACATTCAAACCCCACCTGGATGCATTCTTTGGCACCTGCTCTAGGTGACCCTGCCTTGGCAGGGGTTTGGGTGAGATGATCACCAGAGGTCCCTTCCAACCCTAACAATTCCATGATTCTGTAAATCCAAAAATGGATGTGAAGGGCTACCAGAGCAAATAGCAGAGCCTAGGTGTTATGGCTTGTAATTGCATGTTCTTAAAGAGACCTTTTACGCCTGTTTGAGTAGGTGTTTGAGGGGAGCGATGCCTAGTTTAAAGGGCACACATTTTTCATTGTAACCATGCATGCACTTTGGTAGTGCCTGAATAATTTTTCACATTTCATGATAAGTAATTGATTTTTAATGAAAAGTTGCCTGGGAGAAACAATTTAGGCATATTATTCTGTTTATGGTTCACTAGGTGAATGCTGAATATCACTGAATTAATTATAATGTCATGAGAGAATATGTATTTTTATTAAAAAGGAGAGTCGCTTGTTGAAATGCTTGTCTTGGAAGAATAATTGCATTTTTTCAAGTCTGCTTACTGTCATTCTTGTAAAATTCGAATGGCAAATAGTGACAAAAAGCAGAAAGGTTCTTCACATATACCTAAGTATTTTAGTATTTTTTTTCTGCCTCCAAGGCATTCACTGTCCATTATATATATTCATATATATCTATTTATGCAGCTACACAACTGAAGCAGGAGCACATGGTTCCATGCTCACAGAGGTTGCTGGTAAGGAACAGATGTCCCTAACCAAACAGCATGACAGTGTTTTTTCATTACTTCTATTATTATACTTTTTAGAAGGTTCAGAGGACATTAAATATATTTATTCTTTCCTTCCCCTTTCACATTGGGATACTCTGAATTGGTTACCTATTGTTTCTCTGATCTAACAAGGGGATTTCACAATTTCAAGAGCCTTTTGAGACAGAATCCTTCCAAAACCATTCCATAGCAAAAGATTTTCACCCCAAACTGCCATATTGGCTCTGTGCTTTGAGGTCAGTGTCCAACTGAATTTGAATATTTGGGAAGAACACTGTAGTAAACGAACCTTCTCTTTTGGGAAACCACAGAGAAAACAATGGTTCATGCAAATTTGTTCCTTCTGCCTATCTTCAGACAATTTGTATTATATACCAACTCTTGGGTCATCTCATTGTTTAACCTACGAGGGAATTGATTTTGGAGCTAATCCAAGGCAGACACAAAAGAGTTTTCAGAGATGTTAGTACTGAAGACAGCGAACTACTGGCTAACTCATTGCAGGCTTTCTGTATCTGATTCTGGCTACGGACCACTCAGCTCTCCCTCTATTTTATGTAACAGAGTTTAGGTATATTGTACATTTGAGATTGTCTTAACAGTCTTTCATTCTGGTCCTGAATTGCAACAGCAATTGCAAAGAATCCTGGTTAGGGAATGGTAGACGAATTTAAAATGTTTCTAGAATAACTGTATGAAAAAAGATTGAGGATTTTGACTGTTGATTGTTTCAGTTTGTTACAATAAAGTGCAAGTTGCTCTGAAATTTGTGAGGAAAAATGTTGATTTGTACATGCAATAGTATGATAAAGTTTTTTTAAACTATTTATGAATTGTGTCTTACCTATCTAGAATGAGACAGTAAGCTGATACATAATAATAAGTGCAGCTAATTTGAGACAAGATAAGTGAGAAAAACAAGAATAATTTACATAGTCCATATATCCCATGATTTTATTATCTTTGTAAAAGATAATTAATTCATCTTTTTAAATAGCATTGTCTATGTAAAACAAGATTGCCAAGAGATTTATGAGATATGTTGGGGCAGAGCATAACAAATTTTCAATTCTGCTTTCATTGAGAAGCCAAGTCCCACAGGGCTGTAATTAGCCCTTACATCAAGGCAGGGTACAAATGCTTGTTCACTATCATTGGAATTATTAGAACTGCAAGAATTTTCTGAAGAGCACAGAATGAGAAAATGCCTGTAATTTTGCTACTGGAGAATGTGTTTTCAGCATAAGGGAGCAGATGCTTTAAATACGTGCCACTGTAGAATCTGTCTTTGCAACAAGTTCTGAGGATTGCAGACTTAGTTTTGACCTATGGCAGACCAGGCAGAGTTCTTGCTTTGAGCTGCTTCTATGCATTTTTACATGCCAGGTTAATACAAAAGAAAACAACATATGAATTTATAGTATGTTAATTGTTCTCTTCTGTTTGGAAACTTAAAGCACACCCCCTGTGCAAATGAACTACAGATTATCTGGCTGACTATGGCCATTTTGTAGGGTTGAGATTCAGTAGGTTACCACAGGAGTGGAATGATACAGTGAAAAAAAAGTTATTTATCTCATTTTGTGTGTGAAGGATGTGGCTAGGTGTTAAAAAATTAGACTGTGTATACAGTCTGGATATACATATACATATATATACATATACAGACTGTATAGGACTGTATATACTGTATATACAGTCCTTAATTCTGGTCTTGAACTGTAATAGGAAATAGAGGTGGGAAGTTTGGTGTTCTCACCAGCAAAGTCCAACAAACCTTTTGATAGATTAATGTAAAACTCACACAAGGAACCATTTTGTTTTCATACCTGGGATGAGGTCTGTCTACAAGACTGTTCTGTTGTTAACATGAAAAACCTTTAATTACACACAGAGATAGTAGCAAATGTAACTGAGTGTTATTGGTAATATAACAAATCACTATAAATCAAAATGCCCAATTTTAACAAATAAAAAAAATAGTTACCTTAATTTTTAGGTGCCTGACCTAAGATTCTACCTGTACTTATATTGCCTGTACCAGAGCAGGACCCAGTGTAGCTTACTTTCAACATGATGCCTGTGTCTCCACAGTCATGGTAGATGGATATAATTTGACTGTGCCTTCAGTTCAGAAGGCAGTTTGAGCACACACAGCTGATAGATACCAACTGCCCTTGCAGCAGCCTATGCCAAAGCCCTTCTGCAAAACAATCCATGAGTAATTTGCATCTTTGACATTAACCACAGGGTGCTGCTGCATGATGGCTTTCCTGATCTACCTACACAGTGCTTGGTCTAGAGGGCAGGCAGAGCCTTGTTTGTTATCCAGCCTAAGCCCATTACTTTCAGTCTGGCAGCACAGTTTGGCTGCATCTTAGAAGTATGAAGGGCTTAACTCTCACTCTCAGTGTGCCTCTAGGCTCACCTACAGCCCACACTGAGACAGACCTTGCGGCATTCATTGAGGATGTGAAGGGAAATGAAAGCTTCAGTCCAGGCTTAAAATATGTTAATGCACTTCTGAAAAATGCCAGAATTAATAATTAACCTTGTTGTCAAGGTAAAACACTTTGTAAACATGTTGATGTAAAACATTAATATAAAGTATGATATCCATATCCTGTATGGATAGGACAAATTACATAAAATCTTCTTTCTCTGCATGGTCTGTTTTCCTAACTGGAGAAACAGAGACTTTCAGTTCAAGTATGAAGCAGATCATCTACAGTTAGATTACTGGAAAGGAAAGCAGTGTCCGTCTGTCTTTGAATACTAGCTAGGAAGATAGAAGAGCTCCCTTCTCTCTTTCTTTCTTTAATTTTTTGGAGTTTTGTGCTTCTTTCATTCTCTTTCACAAATGGTTGCATTCCATGTGAAGGTAAAGTGTCTTTCCTAGCTGCTATTGACAGCCAAGTTCTAGGGGGATTATGACTATTCTAGGATTAATACAGCAGTGTCTTTAAAACAGTCGGTATTAAAGCAGGAATCTTTAGTCATTCACATGGGGGTGTTTGGTTTGGTAGTTGTTAACACAGAGCTCCAAAACAGAACCACATGAACGGTTAACACATATTAATCAACACGTAGCTTGAAACATTTTTTAGAGATGAATAGCAAAGGTTTTGTACTATCAAAACCCAGCAGGGGCATTTTCTTCTAAAAGAAGAAACAAGCAGCATCAGAGAAGTTGCTGTGGGATTGCATTAGCTAAACTACACAAGTCTTGTTAAACTGACATTGAAGATGTTGCATCTGAAAAGGTTAGTAAAACTGTGCATCTAGGTAACTGGATGAAAATAAAGCATGGGTGTATTTTTAGGACTTATGCCTAATATATTTCTGTACAGTTTTACCTCCACAGTAAACAGTCATGTGTTTGCATCAGAAGTGTAACAATAGTTTAAATGATTTGAAATAATTTGGCTGTATACATACAATCTCCTTCTGCAGGTGCTCATTGATTTACAGTATCTTGAATAAAAATATGTTAAATCTCTTACCAACTTTTGTTGGTATTAGTAAAAAAATCTCCATATACAGACACATAATTTAAAGCTCTTCTGTAGATAGCAACTGTCAGACCTAAAGAAATGGAAGTTAAAGGCACTCTAGATGAGGGCACCCTCCAGGCATATGCCCAGAAACAGATGCACAATTCTATTGATATACAGTCAAAAGAGACACCAAACAGTGGTAGAATCTATGACCTTTGAGGGATGCATAC